AGAACGAGAAAATAGAGATTTCAAACTTATAGATTATAAGAGTTTACTATTTTTTCATTTCACAGTACCACAATTTATAACCAAAAAAAAAAACCTTTACCATGCATTAAAAAAAATAAAAATAAAAATTTCAGTCAAAACGATCACATGACCGTTCTGATTGATTACAGGCTGCAGCCTGCAGTCAGGCGCCTGCTGTTGCAGCCGCTTTTATTATTATTTTTATTTTTTAAAAAAATCGTTGGCTCGGTTTGCCTTGAATCGGACCGGTTCAAGGTCCGGGCAGCCCGTGATTCGGGCCACACGGTTCTTGGGCCGAACCGCGGGCCGGTTTGCCCCCAGGCTCGCCCATCTTGACAACTCTAGTGTCGGGCAACACATGTGACGAAAAATTTCACGTGGTATGACAAAACCAAATTTGTTCGTTTACCATGAAACTATATATGTGATCTGATCAATTACGAGATATGAAGTGTCAATCTCAATTATCGATCATATTTTTCATTCCACTATTAAGTCAATATATGTCGAAAAATCGACTTACGAGTAAACCTTAGTAAATGATTTCATTATCAACCTAATTGAATAAAAATGTAGATCATAATCTATTACTATTTAAGATTGGCGAATCCAATATTGATCATTCGCAATATTAATGTGATTCTTAACATATCCAATCGATATCGTATTAGCGACTGTTGACATAGCAACAACAACCCTTACCAAAGCATGACTGTCCTCATATAAGGCATTATGATGACATCAAGTCAAATGACCAATTCTATCATTGAACGTTAGATATTAACCATTAGTACTCAAATAGTTATTCATGTGAAATCTCTTTGGCGTGTTTAACAAATTATTCACATGTTCAGTTAAATGTCACTATATTTTAGTTTTTGAGATTAGCTACTCACTTCAAAAGTGAAAAATACCGCATGTGATAATCTAACCGTAATAATGATATTCGTATCTCGTTATTATTACTCATGATCATGGATAATTTAATATTCGATCATATGTAATTTGTAAATCACAATTACAACTCCTTATTATTAACAAATTATTAATATTTGAATCTACAAATTTTATTATTTAATTTATTAGAATATTAATTCAATCAAATAATAGACATGCCAATAAAGTACATCAATGATATATTAAATGTATTTATGTTTAAAATCGATTTGACTTAGAACATAAGACTTACAATAAGATATTTATTTATT